TAGTAGCGATGCCAGGGAGCCCCTAGTAGCGTCCTTGCTCCTAGTAGCGATGCCAGAGGCGTTAGGCTCAAGCCTACCCGCCACTCGCAAGGGTGGTGCGAGTTGAGCCATGGCAGCCTACCATGAGGCCTGCGCTTACATCAAGCACCTGTTTCGGAATGACTCCACCTGGCGGGCTGCAAATAAGGACGAGATTCGGGCAACAAAAGTGCTTCTGCGTCAACCGCAATATGCTGTGCTTGAATGCCTACGTGGTGACGATACGCCGTGCATTGTCAAGGTGACAAATGAAGTTTTGGCACACCTCAGTACCTCGACGTCTCGTAAGATCTTTGTGTGGAAGCTCTGTGGCAAAGACCAATTTGGTCTGGTTTTGCCTCCAGAAGATGCTGATGTATCAGACACATTCCTTCTTCGAGACGAACCACAGGTGTCGCCAGGATTCTCAGACCCGTCTTATCGGCCTCTTCCAGAGCATTTTGAGCCATGGGCTCAACATTTCGCCAGTTACGAACTCCATGCTGGGTACGGTCAGTGTCTGGATGATTCGACGTTAGGAGAAACTTGGATGGGAGGTTTCTTTCAAGCAGGTTGTAGTGAATCAGCTGCATTTATTGAGAGTGCTATCCCTATCCAACAGCATCTTTCGAATACCTCCGAGGCACTCTCAGAACCGCAGCGCACTGAGACTGATAGGCCCCCTCAATCCAGATTAGATCTCACTGAGATGTCTGTTTTGGCCCAAACACAGGACTCTACGTGGTTTGAACCATGGGCAGTTGGTCACACGCCATATACTGATCGTAGTATCCCTTTCGTCGATTCGATAGATGATCAGTTTCATGAACCATGGAGTGCTCATCTTGTCCCAGCCGAGACACGCTCCAAGACGACATGTCGAACTGACCATCGTTTTGCGCCTTCGACGCCTGCCTTCAAGGGTTGGTCCCTTCCGTCTCGTGTGGCCTCCTGGCTCAAAGACCTGTGTGGGCCTCCAATTACACAGTCATGTTTGGACGAGGTTCGGGCCTTTCTTCATCAGACCTCTATGACTCCAGATCCATCTCGGGACAAAATCCACGGTTCCACGAGTTCTAGGTACTCCCAGTTCGAGTTTCCTTCAAGAGATAGAGTCACCCAGCCAAATACACCAACGGATCGGTCAGTGTTGTTGGACCCTGAACTCTCCAGTCCCAGTAGAGGCAGTCAGCACAACCAGTATTCGTTGATTGGTCACACTGAGAGGTCAGATCTTCAAATTCCAGGATGGCTCCAACCACCGAGTTGCATTCAACCAACAACAAGGTGCTGCTCAATTTTGTTGTATCCCCCCAGATCAGATACCGCAAAGTCGCTCAAGCCACGCCTCTGCTGACCAAGGTTGGCAAGTGCATATAGGGTCCCTTTTGGTCTCAACACCTGACCATGTCTTCACAGTTGGCCTGCCCACTGATCAAGAGGTTTCCCGAATTCAGTTTTGTTTGCAAGAATGCATGCATGATCTCCTTCCTTTCGATTCTCATGATGTGATGATGACTCATCGCCCACCACCGGTATTGATTGGTGTCGAGGATAAGCCCTGGCAAGGTGAGCTTTTTGTAGGTTGTACAGACCATTTGATTGCTGTACGAGATGTCACCATTCCTCCCTACATGAGGTGCACTTTCGACCAGGCTTTATGTTGTGTTCGTCAACACACACCTCGATTCCAGACGGGCGTACAGAGTCTGCCAACGTTTCAGACCGCTCGACATTCATTTCCGCCTGGTGCAGATGCCTCCCGTGAAGCTACATTGTTGTGTGAATACTCATCATCCGTTGTACTCGCAACTGGACAATGAGATTTCCACTGGTGTGTCCTGGCAATCAGACTGGCAGCCAGCACTACGACATCGAACTACATATAGAGGGGCTGTACCCTGTGACAACCGTGGTATTCCTTATCAGGCTTCGTACAATCAGTTTTGTCCCAGGTTTGTTCGCTTGTTTCCAAAGTTCAGTGGCAATTCGCCATCTTTGACTATGGGATCCGATACGCCTGCGAGCTTGTTTGATCTTCTTTGCAGAAGTGGACCAACTCTCCAGCAACTCTTAGATTCTGACAGGTTGTGGCCTCACAGTGTACTCAGTACACAGACCAATGTACTAGAGTTTCTACCGGCTCAACCACATCCAACAATATGCAGTGGGGCTGTACCCGTCAACAACCATTCACATCATCATCCTACAGTATCGGAGACCACATACAACGCAGAGAATGATTCTGTGGATCATGACGAAGACCGTTATCTAATTTTCGACATCCGTCATACTTACCATCCCTTTCGACAGGCTTCAATTGAATCTGCCAACATTTGGCCATACCACTCGATCCAAGTTCAGAGCAAAGATGAGTGGCTACTCATTCCTCCGGGCTTGGAAGCTTGGAGGAACTATGCCAATGACACTTTCAGTTTGTCGACTTCTACATCTTCGATCGATGGTGACAGTCCAGCTTCTCAGGGCATACCCCTAAGGGGTACTCTGGCCCAAAGAACGTACCCAGACATCAGAACAATGATGTTGTACGCCTGTTACCACGACGAGATCTCGGTATTACTGGCTGTGATAATCCTCTTCATCATTTGACAAGGCGGCGTACGATGGTTTTTCAGGATGACCTCAATCAATCCAACGACACCATTGACACTCTATGTGCACAGCAATGTTATGGACCAATCCCGCTCTTTGACATCAACACTACAGTGCCTCGACCACTGCCAGAAACCACATTTACAGGGGCTGTACCCGATCCGACAATAATGATCCAAAGTCTACCATCCAAGGCAATGTATCCTGGGCTTACACCTTGTGCTGGCATCATGCGCCACAGGATGGGTCTACTTTCCGACTTCATTGCCAATGAGAAAAGTTGCTTTCAGACATCCGCTGTCCCCGGTGACTCAGTTCCACAGTCAGTTTTACCGCACCGACAATGGCCAGCAATACAATTGTTGACCAGTTGGTCTACGCAATGTCCTCCAGTGCCTGCACAACCTGTTCCTTATATGCAGCGCTCCATTGGAACTCGTGTAGCAGTACACTCTGCTCTCTCCGCCCGTGCAGGACAGGAAGTCAACACCGCAAACATTTTGTTCCCTACCTCCATATGTGAAAGAAGCAGCACCAATCAAGCATGTACACCCCTAAGGGGTTTTCCAGCTCGGCTGCGTGCACTGCAATACCAGATTGGTGACGTGGTTTGCCCTCATGATAGCACCACAGTCGCAGATATTTCTCCCACATCAACTTTGACAGTCTACGACCACATGAATTTGGTGAAGAGATAGCGCTGTTTGATGTTAAAACTACGACTCTTCGACGACTACATACCACCACATCTCGAGGGGCTGTACCCGATCCAACCGAAGTGACGCAAGATCAATTACCTATTACAACATGTACAGGGGCTGTACCCAATTGCAATCACTTACATTGTGGAATGAAGTTGTGTCAGCAGTTTTCTGTTCGCCAGCATTTCCTTTTGAGCCATTATCAGATACAGCCATCTATCGACAACAGGCCACGACAGCCACTGCTTTTTGCAGATGCAAGCTCGGATTGCCAACGCACAACTGACCATATATCTGCTCAATTTACAGGCTGGAATACGGCAATTTACTGTGGCGGCCATCCCGCCTGGGGCCAGTGCGAGGTGATTCACATGGCCCCCAACCCGGCTTTCCCTGAACGTTGTGCCGCTGCACTACAAGACAACGGGTGGCTCGCGTCTGACGAGGCTTTGTGGTTCATGAGACAGTTAAGGGACTGGCGGTCTGACATTGCAATCGGACCCATTATTCAGTGGAGTCCCAGCCGTGACCTTCAGCACTTGATCGCCTCCACCTGCAATGCTCTAACCATCGCCTGAATCTGTTTCTCTTTCTGGTAGACGCGCATTGGTGCGCTATTGAGATTGACCGCCGAACTTATCCTATTCACGTAGTGATGATCCAGTGGCCCCCTGAACTCCATTCGACGGTCATATTAGAGGTCTCCAGAATTTTGCAGATTCCGCCC